GTCTGGTGAACCTTCATTACACATTTCTGCCAACTTTCCAGGTAACAGTTGGTGTGCAATCTGACATTAAACGCTAATTAAATTAATGAGGATATTACACTTGTCACGTTTGTTCTGTGTTTGTTTTGCTTGAGTTGGACTTTGCCTGCATCCTAAATAGCACACTTATTTCACAAACATTGCACTTTTGGTGAGCCTCGTCAGTTCAGGTTTATGTTTGAGCTTATGTTCAAATTTATGTTCTTGTTATGTTCTTAGACAAACCAATTTCTAGTCATGGTCTTGTTTTGTTTATATGTATTTTGTTTAATAAAGTGCAATTGGGTTCTTCAACTCGCCCTCAGTGGACTTATACATCAAGAGAGTATACAATTTAGGACGCAGTCTGTGGATTTGCACTCCCTCAAAATAACCACCGTTCATGACAGCTACACAGATTAAGGCTAATAATTAAGAATGTACAGTACTAGAGCATCCAAAAAATGGCTAAATCCACATTCTGTTCCTATTATATGCTTTGGAATACCACAGAGATATCTAGAAGAAAAATAGTGGAGAATTAAAAAAAAGAATGCCATTAAGTTTTTTTGGTAACACTTTACGGTAAGGGTACATTAATTATCATGAATTCATGTATAAGTTAATGCATGAATTATGCATTCATTCATGCATTAATATCTCATGAATCATCAGGAACTAACATAAGTTCAACATTTTTCATTCATGACTTCATGAATGAACAACACCTTAATTAAAACATTAACTAAGATGAGCACATCATCATGAATTATGGTTTATTACACATGATCATGATGTTTTCTTTGTTCACAGTTATGCCACCTTTCAATAGCACATTGTTCATCAGTGTTTCTAAGGACCTAGTCACCACTTTAGTTAAGGGGCCACACACATGATGAAGTCATTGATAGATAATGCTTAGTTAATGATGACTTCTGTATATGATTTACAGAATGTGTGTGCTATGAGCTGTGATTGGTCTATTATGGTGTCTGTCCAATAGTCATCATTAACTAAGCATTAATCTATTAATGACTTCATCATGTGTGTGGCCCCTTAACTAAAGTGGTGACTAGGTCACTGACCTAGACAAAGAACAAAGAAAATATCATGATCATGCGTAATATATCATAATTCATGATGATGTACTCATCTTAGTTAATGTTTTAATTAAGGTGTTGTTCATTCATGAAGTCATGAATGAAAAACGTTGAACTTGTGTTAGTTCCTGATGATTCATGAGAAATAATGCATGAATGAATGCATAATTCATGCATTCATTTATACATGAATTCATGATAATTCATGTACCCTTACCGTAAAGTGTTACCAAGCCACTTAATATAAAGTGGGACTTTTTTTTTTTTTTAAATGACACTAAACTTACACATTGTAACAACCTGAGATCTCTTAAAGGGTGTGAAGAAATCAGTCTCTATAGGAGGACATTGATGTGATTTTTACTTCCAGAATCAGACTATTGCACTCCATACAATAGCCGAAGAGTTTGTCAAAACACATCATGCACCATTTGTGCTTGCATAAAAGTTTGTTTATTTTGGTCATCCCAGTTTAAAGGCATAAAACCTTAGCATATCTGGCCAACCATCGTTTATAAATAGTCTGTTTCCAGCCTGAGCGATGGTTTGATGAGAAGACTGGTGGGGAGAGAAATAGAAATACTAGCCTGACTAATGTTCAGACCCAAGTCTAGAGACTTGTTCTGGGAACCACATGTTTGAGGCGTGGTTTACGAATGTCCAGAGCCGTTTATTGGGTGCCAATAATGTCTTTCAAATGCGCCTCTACGTAGCTCAATCGTTTCAATTATACCAAGATGACGTATATAGAGCAACAGAAATTAAAAAAAGAAAAAAAAAACGATGGGAAAGAGATGTATGTGTACAAGATGGCGTGTATCCAACGGCCATTTCACACTGTATGCATAAGCGGCACATGTTTTTTTTTTTTTTTTTTTTTTGCGTGCATGTTAATCAATGAGTGCATTCACACTGGGAGCTGCGTGAGAGTCGAGCAGGAGCGTCGCGTTAGCAGCAGTGAAGCGGGGATTTCGAGTCGCATCTGTTTCTGCTTCACCGCACAATTAAAGTGAAAGCACACTTTAGATGGACAAAAGAAAAAAAAATATATTTCACACAAAAAGTGTCCAAAATGCACAGAATAAGCATGTCTAGTGAGTTTTAACAAGAACTTGAATAGGCAAATAAAAGAAAATCAAGACACAAAAATATTTATAGAAGATTTAGGCTACCTGGTAAAAACTTGTTTTTATTATTCAGTTTGGGTGAGTTGTGTTTTAGCTATATCTATATCTATGTAGATATACAAGAAAACTAGCCATAAAATATTATAAATAAACGTTCTTTTATTTTATTTTACGTAAGACAGCTACATAACTAACCCAAATCAAACCCGAGTGTGTGGTTTATTTGTGTTTTGTTTTTTATCCGTGGAGTTTGCGGGCTGGTAAAGATATCGAAAGTATGACTGAAACTAATAGATTGGAGCCATTTTATGGGTTGTTTTGTTGTTTAACATATGTGAATGTTGTACACCTCCCCATTACAAACTTTCAAGACTATAAATGTTATAAATGACCAACTTATAAAACAAATGTATAGCTGTCTTTGTAAAGAATTGCTCGCTTATATATTATGTGGATTTTGGAGCCGCTGCTGTGACTCTGTACAAACGCTTCCGGAGGGAATACCTTCGCGCATCTGCTACTGCAGTGACGATGCAAGTTACACTGGTGTAAGGCTGCATCGAAAGTAACTTTGTATTTGCTGCCATGTTTGATCCATCGGTATAAGCAAACTGCTTCGGTGTGTTACATAAACGTCGTCATCGTCTTGCTGCTCCCTCCCTGTTCTGTGATTGGTTCACTAGATGAGGCGAAAATTTGGTCCATGGTATCCAGACTACCTAGCTGCATGAATAAAATCGAGCTGCGGCAAGGCATTATGGGGAAACCCAGGCTATAGAAATACAGTCCAGTCCTTCACATTAAAAATCAGAGTTCTGCTTCAAGCAGCCTGTGACACAGTACCTGCCGTGCACTTGTGCGGCAGCTCCACTCTAATCATACATGCCAGGCCGCATCCCTGCCTCTCAAAGGCCATACACAGCACACTGTAACCAATTAGAACTCGCCGTGCTGTGTCCACGTCTCTAGGACGACCGCCTAATGTTCAACCAAGTGAAGAAACAAACAGAACTAAAAACCGAGCTGGTCTCAGATCAATAAGCGTCGATAAGTAGGCATTTTAAAACATCTTATAACAGGGCCAAACACATCAAAAGCCATCTGGATTTGCAATGCTTATGCGACACAGTGGGGTAAACTATAGATTCTATTCTCAATGAGTCAGAAAATAAGAAAGGTTTTACTGCGATAAAAGGACCAAGCCACAGACAAGAAACAAGGAGATTCAGGATTCGTTTTGTTTTTTTAATCAACCAACTGCAGGGGGGGAAGGACTTTGGGTGGGAAAAAGCGATTGAATTTTGAAATTGCTAGATTCAAAAGAGGAAGATAAGCACACAGAACATTCCATAGGATTTTCAGTGGGCTCTGTTTTCTCACAGTGACAGGCATAAAAAAATGAGAAATCTGTGACTACGTGCTGATGCCAGGGTAGGCAGTTTTTTATCTGGACTTACCGAGCAGGGGTGGCAGCCAGTTGATGTTGGCTTCACAGTGAGAATCCAGGAAAGCAAGTACCTCTCCTCTAGCCACAGACGCTCCCAGAAGTCGCGTGCGGATCAGACCCTCTCGCTTCTTGGTACGCACAATACGCACCTTAGGAAATCTGGACATATACTCCTCCAGATTTGCCTTTAGGTGATCTGAAAAAGTGACAGAAAAAAAAAAAGAGTGAAATTGCTAGAAAGAATGCACGGGGGAAAGAGGAAATTGCTAAGTTAAGGTTTGTGTTCTGTTAAAGGGAGATTGATTGTGGGTTGCGGTGCAGTGGTGCGGTAATTTAATCTCGGAATTGTTTCTCCATTCTCGCGGCCCCATTCAATGGCATTAATGTTTAACACCCCATAAGATTCCACAGTTGTTAAGACTTAACCTCTTAGAAGGCCTGCAAAATTTGCCCGAAACGCCTAAAAAAGACCTATCCAAATTAAATTGCATGCTGTTCTTGAACCATTTGGAGTATATGCATGCTTTTGCTCTCTTTTGAAAGGTGACACTCAGAGGTTTGTTCCTAAACAGTCAAAATCACTGTAAGTCTTACTGGTCTTGAGTAATATAACTTTGAACACAATGAAAAATGACAAAAAAATTCCGCCTACATTTTTTTTGTGTAAACAGATGCCTGCAGATAACTACAGCTGGGAGCTATGAGCTAGAAAACACAACTGGATCACAGCATGAAGCCTTACCAAACAGAGTTTAAAATTTGATGATGATATCTAAGAAAATGAGTGTTTTACACATGTTTATCTAAGTGTATATCTAGGCGCTTCCCAAAAAAAGCCACTTGGAGACTCCAAATGACCCTTTGTGATCATAGACACATAAAATGCTGCTATTCTTGAATACTTTACTCTACAGTCATAATTTTGGGCTCTAATGAAAGGTTACATTTAGGGCTATCATATTCCTTAGCCAGATTCACTGTAAATATTGATGACACATAGTAACTGAAGCATAAACACATTATAGTGTTTTTTTTTTCAATTCTTGAAACCAAACTTTCTACAAATAAAGAGACAAAACAAGTGCTATGGTACTAAAACACTTTAATATTAGAACTGAAACTACATATACATATATATATATATATATATATATATATATATATATATATATATATATAAATACATATATACACACACACACACAAAAAGTGTGACGACCTGCAGTGCTGTGTCCAGTGATATGCACAGACTTGAAAAAAGAAAAAGCCAGTTCTCCTCTGCATCTCACCCTCCCCGTCCACTTGTTGTTTAGCTGGCAGAACCTCTCTGGAAAGATAAATGATGGGGCTCCTCTCCTGATAAGGTGCTGTCATTCTGTTCCAGTATGTTGTTTTTTTCTGACTGGCTCCCAGAATTCACTCACTAATTTTCAGATGATGGTCTGTGATATATAAAAAAGGGAAATAATTTACAAAACATTGACATTATATGCGTGTGAATACAAAAATAAACAGAAACACATGCACACAAAGAACCAGGATTATGCAGTTCATGAGCGCACACGCACATCATGAGCTATGACATAAACAAACACGACATAAGTTAGCACATGTAAACACACACACACAAGACATGTATGTTTTGCGTGTTTAGCAATTTCAACTCACAAAAAGGCCACATATTAAATAGTGCTGTAACGTTACGAGCGCACACCAGAGAACCTAGCTAGCAGGTAATGCTATGTTGAACACACTCACACAAACACACACGGCAAAAGCTGACACACCTCAACTGAGGCATGTGTTTGTTTTAGTACACCTAAAACAAACACATGTCTCAGTATATACAGTCAAATATGTTGGGCAATATAATAAAACTTACTTTTCGTGACGTGAGTGCCGTGGCCACCATCCAAAAGGGTCCTCTGCTAGTCGTGCTAACCAGACAACAACATCGATTGCTCTCTTGCTCACAAATGTCCTCCCACTCACCACGGTCACGGAGAATACACTGTTCAATCACTTCTTCGAGTAATAAGTGCGTCTTTCTAATTATCTTTGCCATTTCACATCTGTTACCTCCTTTCACTCACCAACGCGTTCAATGTTGTGTTTACGCACAAACGCGCAGAGGATCACTTTCGCTTTACGCATGAAATATAACGTAATCGGATGATTCCAGCCACTAAAGCTGCATTTCAGTCTTTTCAGAAATTCATTGGCTATCAGAAAATAGCGTCATTTCATTCTCTATTGCAACTGGATAGATAAACTGTCACTCAAAGAGAGGTAGGTACAGATTTCACCAGGCGAGCTCGTTGGTTGTTGGAACATCAGAAGACACCCCTAACACTCGCCGATTGGCTAAAATGACCTGTCAATCAATAGTTCGGGGGTCAGCGGCCATTTTGACATACTTTTTTCTCCAATGTTTACGTTTCAACTGAAGTTAGACAGATCAAATAGTGTTAGTGCGTCGAAGTTGTGATAGCGCTGTCGGCTAACGCGAAATGCTACTATTGCATTCCATGGATGTTTATTCATATATACAATTGTTTTGGACTAAAAACTTCTTCAAATTGGATTGTATGGACGCTTTACAGTGAAACCAAACCATTTTTGTTGGAATGTGGACTAACAGATGGCTAATTGGTGAGTTTCTTCCAGTTTGTGTTGGTTTGTTTTGGCTGTTGGTGGTCTGACAAAGAGACAGATTGTGCCCGCTGTGTTGATTGTATCTTAAAATGGTTTACGTCGTTCGAATCACGAGTTTCTCAGCTTTCCAAAGATATGTATTATGTTTACTTTTGTGTTTGTTTTGTTTTGTCTTTCACAAAGTTAAACCTATAAACCACCCTGTTGGCCGTATACGGCACGTCGGACCACAAACAGGTTAAATGAATTGTTGAATGTCCTCTGTTTCTAGAATATTAATCAGGACAAATAGACCCAATATTAATTCTTTGGCCTAACTCGCAGTGATTCCACATGTTGGATATTAGTTTTCTTAACATAAAATTAATATGTAGGCTCAACTCAAACACTCTATTTAACATAAATTCAAAAACCTAAGTGAAACACCCAGTGAATTGAGTAAGTGCCAATAAAATTAGATGTATTAGTAATCCAACCTCAGACACTAGCAAGTTAAATATAGCTTTTCTTACATATAATATAGGATGTGCTGTTAATGTGCAGTAAAACAGTATGCATCATATAACAGAACATTAAAAGGCCTTTCCTTTTCAAAAAAACAAACAAAAAAAAACATTTAATTTATTTTTCTGATCTGGTCGGATACAAAGCACGATAGCAACTATAAATCCACTGCCATGTAATAACACAAATAGATTAAGTAAACTTTTATTATGCAAATGTAAGTGTATTGAACACAGTGAAATTAAGAATCAAGAACTGTTGCATTTGCACATTAAATTTAGATATATTTTACATCCCACATTGGTAATATTTTTTTCAGTTAATATGAATGTGCACATTCTACAAACATCTTTAATTATGCTAACTTGAGGTAAACACAAACGAAAAATGAAACAATTTTCTCGCTGCCGGGTACTGGGTAATGGATTTGACCCCTTCCAGTGACAGCACAAAGAAACAGCAAAGCAGTCATTTCAACAAAAAAAAAAAAAAAAAAAAAAAAGTCTTATCTTATCTTTCCACACATTACTGTTTGTTCATTTTCAGAAGCAGCAGGAGTTTGCTGCAGCTTGTCGACCGTTTGCACATTATTCAAATACAAAGCATTAATACCTTCACAAACTCAATCACCGCTTCCCAGCTGCTGCATGAGTGTGTGTGTGTGTGTGTCCATGTGACTGTGTGATTAGATGCTTTGGAGGTACCAAATACATGGGCTTTGGATTACCACTAATAACATAAATCCATTAGATGCAGCAGCCATGTTTTGATGGAAGGTTTAAATTGGATGGACCGGTGAATTTCTTATTTGAAAGCTATGAAGCAGGCAACATTAAAGTTATGTACATGAAAAGAGTCATGCTTTGACTTTAAAGTTTGTGTGTTATTTTTCACTTCAAGAAGGAATAGTTTTCACTTGAAATATTTTATAATTGTTCTTCCTGCTTTATGATTTTTTTTTTTTTTTAAATCGCACAAACAATCTTAACAGCTGACATTCATCCACAGTTGTTGTTTCCTTAATATTGATAAGCATAAGAAAAATAGAACTTGGAAATGACACCGACTTTATTTTTAATTTTATCATACAGACATTTCAAAAATAATTTTCTATTAAAATATTTCCAACTTCTTATAATGTGTGCAGAATTTCAGAATTTTCAGAAATTGTCAAGTTTATGAAACCGGTCTTAAAACAATCATTAATTTTACTTCAATCCTTAATTTTACTTCGATCTTACACTGAGCATTTATTTCCCCAAAAGCCCAGTGCGACACATCACTATATTTACAATTATGATGTCTACAAACCTAGTAAGCTCCAGAGAAGGTTTATTGTGTCAAAAAAATGCAGCACCAACATATTTATTTTTAATATAGCACCAAAAAAGATTGGCAACTTAATGATAGTACCACTACAGACCCTCAGAGGGGTTTCTGTTTTGTGTATTGAGAGCTCACTGCAGGCCCCCAATGCAATTATAAACAACCCAAACAGAGCAGGACATCTGTGATGAAAAATAAAAGAGTATATTAGCCGATGGGGAGACAGTATGTGGGGCGTTCATCTGGTGGACATCAAACGGCAATGTGTGTGTGTGTGTGGTTGTTCCTCTTGTTCGGTTCTTTTAGGCCAGAGGCCAAACTCACTTCAGGGAACCTGCAGACGCATCCTCACTGTCTACTAAACTCTGGCAAAGTCACCTGCCGGCGCAAGAGTTGCATTCAGCCCTTTCTTTCTGTTTCTCTCTCTCTCTCCCTCTCTCTGTTCTTCTCAACTCCCATGGTGTCTGGCCATCAAACAAATGGCCCCAATAAAAGTGACAGCCTCAATATGAGTTGCCACTGCACTATGATCCCACTGAGCTGAGGTGGGGAGGAGACTCGCAAAACTTTTCCAGGCTGCCGTTGTAAGTGTAAGTGGCTCACAGAAGTGAAAGTGTCGGGTGGGTTTTCTCCCTCTCTTTTTCCATGTCCTACGAGTGCTTGATTAAACGAGGTCGTAAATCATTGGTGCTGATGCGTGGCAAGCCGAGCGGTGAGGAAGGAAGTGACAAATAAACAGTTATGAGGAAAAGGCAAAGTTTCGTATCCCGCTGGCATATGGCTGACAAGCCATGATGAAGGGCAGGCACATTCTCTGCTTTGATGGTTTGCAGACAGACCGCTCTGGGCCACTACCTTCCCAACCTGAGTGGAAAATTTCATTTTTCTCTTTCCCTGGTGGTCTGTCATTAAGACAGATGGTAGAGAATCATTTGCCCCATTCAAGGTTTTGATAGTTTTTTTTTTAGACAGACGCGTGTCTTCCCAAACCGTTCGCTTCATATCACACACCGGTGAGATGTGATACTCTCTGAACAGTACTTCATTAGAGCTTGTTTCCTTGATATAAGAGCTACGGCGGAGCTAAAATTACCATTGTCTTTGCAATTCAGATTTAATGAGCGAGAGATTCACACCAATGAGTCACTTGCTTTAATTGTTGCTGCGTTACTGGATGAGCTCCCTTAGAACTGTATTGTTTTATTGGTGTGGTTGGTATTAGGCAGATAAAAGAATATCCCCTATCATTAGCTGCAGAGGCACAACAGATAATAAATGCAGTTCTGACATCCTTTTTTGCAAACTATCAAAGGACTCTGAGCTTTAAAGTGAGTTTCTAAGGTTTTGTCGGGGTGTGACATAACGTTGTATATAAACAGAAAATATATAATATGGTCAAGACACACAATTGACACCCCACACATACAAACAAAGAACAATGTGAAAATGTTGCCTTTCAAAGATGCCAGAAGAGTTCAAGTTAAACAGTTAATTAGGAGCATAAACATATCAACCCTGTATGACAATAAACAGTTGGATGCAAATACATTGTGTGTTTCTGTGGATGTTTGTGTGTTATCAATTAGAGATGTTGTAGAAATGCTGCTGAGAAAATACTATCAATTCTAATGGTATTAACCACATGCATTTCCTCTCAAGCAGGTTTATTTTGCTTTAAAAGCATTGGTTGAAAATCATGCTTGCTAAGTCCACATTTTCCGTTCTTTCTGTGATATTTTCAGTCATTTGTGATTACTGACTAAGGACTTTTAAAAATCATTCCAATTGAAATCGACCTGCTAGTTAATCATTTAAGCTGATTTGCTAAGTTGTTCAACCAATTCATCAAACCAAATGATTCAACAGACTGACTCCCTCGCAGATCAGACATCGCTACGACTTTACACAAAAGCATTATTTGAAATAGCTTAGTGATGAGTGTAATAATAATAATAATAATAAAAATGTAGACAGTACATTACCGTTTAAAGGTTTGGGGTCAGTAATAAAAAATACTATTCTTGTGAATATTATATTCATTACTATTCTAAAACTATAATATTATTTAGTTTTATTATTAATATATATATATATGTAATTTCTTATCAAATAAATTCAGCCTTGATGAGCATTAAACTTTTGAACGGTAATGTTAATGTAATTTCCTTGACCTAAGATTTTAATTAATTTACATTACAGGCCAGAAAAACCTAATTTTTAACCAAAAAAGCCAATAAAGCCGCAAGTACCCTGTTTTGTAACTGATACATTACTGGGCTATCTATCTTGCCACATTGTATCGCTCAACAAGTATTTTTTTTCCTCGCTAGCAGTGATTTAGCAAGTGCAGGCTTGCTGTAATGGACTCATTACAGTGAATGAATTAGCTGCTTTGCCTCTGCATGCGTGTCATTGGGCTCCTATAATGCTTCTGACGTTGTAGTCAGGATTCGTCCATGGCCCCCAGAGAACATGTGCAGAGAATAAAACATCCACTAAGCACAGACACCTTCAGCGCTTCGTGGCCACTGCCTTTATTCATAATATGCGGTGTGTTTTTGAAGCCTGCCGTTGGCCAGTGTGTGAATAAAAGAAAGCCCCCCGCCCCTCTTATTTCCCTGCTTGTTGGCATCAGTTTACTCAACCGCCGTTTTCCTCAAGGGGGAGATACGCACTCCCTTGAACCGTTCATAAATCCTTCTTTGCAACGAGATCAATGTTTAGACTCAATCCCGATTTATTACATTGCTGCTGGAAAGAGAAGCAGAAAATGAGGCCTGTGCAGGAAACCCAAAGGGATCCTGAACGAAGAACAAGGGATATGTTTAACAAAGCCTGACAATGTACAGTAGCAAATGATTTTGTTGTAGCAATAAACATGTCTCAAATGGCTGGAGATGCATGTTTAGTTTAGAGCGTGGTCAAAGCAACAACAACATAAAAAGGTGAACCTTTCATAATTCACAGCACTAATAGACCATTTTGCTAGATGTAAACAACACTGGTCC